AACAGACAATGCCAATTCTCTGGCATGTAAACGATGAGCTTGGCTTCATTCACACAGCTGACACAGCAATATTGTTCCCAATTACAAGGTAATTTCATTTAATGCTAGCTTGGATATCTCTAAAGACAGACTTTAAACATATCCTGGGGGGTTCAACTGTATCTAACTCTTAGCTTCAGCTCCCAGTGACTTCATTTTAGATTGTTATGAAGAGTCTGGCCCAGGTCCTGTTTCAGAGAATCATCCTGCAACTTGCCTTGATCTATCTATGGTTTAGCATCAGATGAATTTTTAGAAAAATTCAATTCATACTCAGATGTTAATTCTAGAAGGCAGCATTGCATGGTTTTATTCCTAAAGATTTTCAGCATGCCGTCAGAAGTTGATGCAATAGGTTTCACTGCTTGCTCTGCTTAAAAGTTTGCATTGTTTTACTGATGATTGTTAGTCTAACTTCCACTGGCAATATGAGGTGCATAAATATTGTAACTGTGACCCCTGCTTACCTGTAGTTTCTTCATCTTCTAAGTCATGCAGTATAAGCTTTTCAGCATCTTGATTTCTGCTCTTTATAAAGTTTAAATAGGAGAGAACTGATTCTGGCAAGTCATCTGAAATCTAGAAAAACACGACATTTGACATAAATTCTATGTTTTCATCTCACAGCCATGACCAGAGGCAAATACTTGACATGCAAGAATAAAGACTCATAAAGCACTGATGGAGATTTAGTAGCAATTGGTACCAAAATTGTTCCCAATTCCTACACTCTTCCCATTGTCTTATCACCCACTGAACAATTAACAGTTATTTTTAATTACAGTCTAATTAAATTTTGATTGGAACACATTTTAGTAACTTATCTTCCACTATCTGCAGAAACATGTTTCAATTAACATTTTTTTATGTGTTGGACCAAGAAATTAAGTAAAAGGTTAAGACAAAAACTAACGAATAGCTATGATGCACATGATCTTTTTCTTAAAAATGTTCAGACTCTTTAAAAAATAAATTATTTTTAAATTTACTAATGTTTAACGTATGCATGTAAATCAAATGCTTCAACTTTCTATTCTAAAGACTGTCTTTAATGCAAGGATTTGGGAAAATGGACTGCCTTCTCTCAGATGTGTAAATTGCAGTAAACATTGCTGGCATTCAGCATGTGAGTACATAAATAATTGTCACTGATGCCTTTGCCTATCTTTATGTCATATCAAACATATGATTTATGGTCACATATGACAAATGTCATCTACCTTAATATCCTGTAGACCAATCCTTTTGCTATGAGTCTGAAAGATTAAAATAACTGAAAAGGACCCAAATAACTGATTGGATTTCAGAGGAAAATCTTTCCCCAAAATAAGAAGTCATCCAAAAACAGAGGACATGAAGCACCAATTTATATGAAATTAATTATTAGGAAGTCTTCAAACATAAGACACTCTCATGTAAGATTTAAATACAGATTTAAATGAAGAATCATTGGCTTATTCATCCAGATTTAATCTACCTCATTAGGTTTAATAAAATCTTCCAGCTTCAGAGGATTCTAAAACAAATCATTACCTACCTACAAGTCTGATTTTCTCACTTAAGCAGAATGCTGATACTCTTCTCTTTTATTGTCTTGTTACCATTGGAGGTCACGTTTTTCATAAAACAATACTACTGAGACTACTTTTCAGAAGAAATCCTCAGGTTCGGTATGTCAGGAAAAAGTTCATTCATCAGATAGGCTTTCCAATGCCCGTACTACTTTCAAGCAGAAATAGAAGCAGCAGCACTGAATACTTACTGTCTCACTGTCACTCAAAGCTTCATCTGATACTTCTGTGTCAGGATCACCCGCTTCAAGGGAAGAAACACTGATTCTGCTTAATTCAATTTCTATTTCTTTTTCAATTCCTTCAATATCTTCTGACATTCTACTTTCCACAGTGTCTTATCTGCTTTCAAAGCTACACAAAGAAAATATTAACCGTCAGCACCTCGTGAACCTAAATAAACAGGGTGCTAATTTAGCATAAATTTATTCAGATGTATTGGCTTAAAACATGAAAAGGAACATCAGAAGTTTGGTCTGAACACCTGACTCCATACCAACAGGAAAAAATAAGAAAAACATTAGTTTATGATAACAGAACCCCCCCTCATTCTACCCCTCTAAATTTTGCAATTGTTACCAAATTTCAATATTAAAAACCTCTGCCTGCTCTCTACTCCTTGTGGACGGTATCAGTGCTACGACCTAAGCCTTACAAGGGTTTTTTACAGCCCTAATAACCGCAAAGAAAAAAAGAAAAGCTTCAAACATATTAACGATTACAAAATAAGACTAAGAATCCAGAAAGCACTCGATGAAGTTGCAATGATACCGAGAAAGCAGTGAGAAATGGCCTAACCCACAGAAGTACAAGACTTGTACACGGACACAGGCAGGAGGGGAAGGGGTCCCTCGCCGTCCCCCCTGCCCTACGCAACCCGCACCCCTCTCCTCCCCCTCAGCCCCAATTAGGGGACAGAGGAGGCAGCCCGGACCCGCTCCATCAGAGGCAGCGAGCAGCTCCTCGTCCCTCGCCGCCTCCTGGAGCGGGAGAAGCGACAGGCTGAGCGCATCTCAGCCGCGAAGCGGTTCCTCGCTGAGAGAAACTACATCTCCCAGAAGGCCTCGCGGTGGGGAGCCCGCCGCCGCTTCCCGGAAAGACGGCGGAGCCGCCCCTTTGCATGCTGGGAGCTGTAGTCCGCCCCTCAGGGCACCCATGGCCTCCGGGCTCCGCGATCTACCCGCTCTAGCTACTCACTTCTCGTTCAGCCGAGCTCCTACCGGAGCCTCCCCCCCCCCACCCCGCCGCCTTCGGAGACCTCCGGCCCCTCCGCTCTGAGATCCCGCAGCCTCCAACCGCCGCCGGTCGGGCCCTCCGCGGGGAAGACGAGAGCCCCCGCCGCCGCGCTGTTAAACCGGCGGCGTCACCACGGCAACGGGCAACAGCGGCTCGGAAGGCAAGCGGGAGGATCCAAACTTCGCCAGCAGTTCGCGTTTCGCGCCGGTAGGGCGGGCGGCGGGCCCCCGCGGGAGGGCGCCGTCGTCAGCGTGGGACGGAACACCTGACAGCCCTCTTTTTCGTGTTTTTTTTAAATTTTGTTTTGTTTTAAGTCATGGACTGGAGTTTAGTGTTCAGAAGAAACTGGAATCAGCAATTAATCGGGCCGGAGGGGTACGGGGGGGACCCACACACCCTGCCGCCTGCGCCGCGGGCAGAGAACAAAATATGATAGTTCAAAAATAAAAAAGGTCGGAGAAAGGCGCGTACAAATTATTTGAGAGCTGGAGAAAATGTCCCGCTGGGGAATTAAAGACTCCACACGATTCAGTCTGGCGAAAGCGATACAGGGCAGGGAGGGTGCGGACAATAGCGGTTTAGTGTGTAATGGTGTCTATAGGGAACGCATCTGTCCCTGAAGTCTGGTTAGGAATGCCAAGGTGCAAAGACAGGTATAACAGAAAAATAAGAGCTGAAAGGTAAAGACAGGTTTTACATAGAAAAGGAGCATTTCTGTGAGCAATGGGAAGGGTCTGCCAAGGGTAGTAGGGGTTTCTCCCACCTGAGCACCTTTCTGAAAGACTTTCGGATGTCAACCGCAAAATGGATTCAAGGGCAGCCCTCCACCATTTTCTGACTGGTGTTACGGGTGAGCAAGACATTTAAATCTTAAACAACGGAAACTCATCTGTTCGAAATCCACCCTGTGACGTCTCGGGCCTTACGGAATCACGTAACCGGTGAACTTTTCAATGTGGTCAAGTCTTCAAGCAGGGGGTTGGATCCGCGCTCGGGGCTTGTTCTGTAGCGCCCCGTGCTCTGCTGTCAGGGTGACTGAAGGCCACGGGCACCGCGTCGTGCCTTTAGCAAACAACTTCGCCAATTAAAAAAGGCGTTTCTGGAGGCCCGTCGCCTGTCACCAGGAAGTCAGGGGGGTCAACAGAAAAAAGCTCTCTGTTGTGAGGATGCGGTTCGGTTGTACTTGAGGAAGAAACATCTCACTGGGGGACTGTGCTCTTTAAGGTAGGATGGAAGTATTCGGAGCTGGTAAGGATTTTCTTGTGAAGTAACAATGTAATGTAAAAAGTACATCATTTTATAAAGATAATATTTCTATTTTTCAGATAAATAATTTAAGATAAACTGAATTACTATTATTATGGCTCAAAATAAAGCATTGAAACCACATAGTTATTACAACAGAACTATTGCAGGTGCCAGTTTTCAAGTGAAATATGCAGCCATTCAGGGGTTTTTACTAGAACGATGCATCTCACCAATGTTTTAACACGTTCTGGTTTTGAAAACTCTGATAAAGTTTAATTACTCTTAAAAGTAGTGGATCTTCTTCAAGGGAAGTGCAAAACCAGTTATCTAATACAGTCTGTAAGTTTACATGGTGCATTATTGACCCAAATCCACTGTGGAGCTAGTTTGAGAAGCTTATAGCTTTCTTCATTCTGCGATTCAGCAACAGAAGTTTTATAATCCAGGCAATGAGGATCTTGGCAGGGCAGGCAAAGCTTGTGTTTGCAGCATCTTTTCTTCTGATCAACAAATTTGATACATATGTAACATATGTTTTGTATGTAAAATAAGTTAACGCAAGATATTTTTTGACCGCAGAAGCTTCATCTTTGTCATTTTTTTTCTGTGTTACAAGTAACAGCAGACATAACTTCTCATTGTAATCAATCTGTAGTAATTCTGACAGAAGACAAGAACAACTCCTTTCAAACAAATCTCTTTGCGTTAGAAAATACTTTCTGAAGGGTATGCCTATGCTGGTTATGTTCACACGTCTGTGCATGTTTGTGTGCCTGCCTGCTTTATACAGGGGAAGCGTAAGACAACTGTGGTCAGCTGCTATTGCAGAAACCATTTTCTAACACTGCTGCTCTTGGACGCCTCTCAGCTTGTACCACAAAGTCAGGCAGAGCAAAATGCTGGAGTATGTTTACAGAAGAGGCAAGACAGGTGAAAGGGAACATGAGGCGGGAGACAAATGTATGAGTTTCAGTCTCCGTGCAAAAATCTTGATAGGCCCAGAAGATATGGTAGCCAATAATGATAATAATAATGATACATAAAAAAAGAAGTTCTGCATCGGAGAGTTTACAGTGCTAGGGGTCTTTCCTGCTGAAATATGCTGAACTACGCTCAAGATGTGAATGCCTGTGTGACTTCACTGCGGTCCTGTCAACATTTGCAAGTATTTGCAAGGGCAATACAGTTGGTACTTGGGTTCTAATGAGCACTTCACATGTATTTCAGGGGCAGTTGCTATGGGTAGGGTCTCTGCTTGCCCTCCCATTGACCAAGCACCCAACTGCTGTTGATGACAGAAGTGCATTTCTTGATTTAGTTTCATTTCAAAGGAATTCAACTTTTCACATCCTGTTACATTCCACAACAAAAAACGAAGGAAAAAAGTAAGTGGTGGTGACTGGGAGGTTCAGTTCGAAAGTGTAAAGTGTACTCCGGAGTTTGCTGCAAGACAGTTGGTAGCACCATATAATAGCTCTCATGGCTTTGCTAGAACTGTGTGCTGGATCGCACTGAAATCATTAGGCTGTATCTGCTATTTTCAACAAAAATGAGTCGGGTCAAGTAGACAAAGGAGGGCTTATATCTTTACTATGGTTCTCCCTCTTCATTTCAGCTGCTATCCTTAATAATTAGTAAAAGTGTATTGAAGAATATAAGGACAAGTGTATGCCAGGCTATGTAACTCTTGCCATCTCTGTAATATAAATTTTCATACATACATGCTGCCTCCAAATGTAACAGTTAAGAGAAAAATTGTAAAAAAATAAATACTTTTGTACAATATAACATTAGAGGCAATTGAGACCAGACACCATCTTGCTCCTTCTGCTGTTGCTACTATTATTATTTTTCAGTCTATCAGGTGACTGTTTAAATTTATAAAACATTATCTGAAGAAAATAAATCCCATTGTAATTGATATGCTTAGTTATATCTGTTTCATATTGAACTGAATATATGATTATATTTTCAGCTGTGATTCAAAACTGAAAACAGAAGAATGAAAATAAGAGATAAAATACTAATACAGAAGTACTACTTAAATGTCTTCAATGGAATTTTCTTGGTAAAAATTCTGTTTTCTTTTTCTTATTTAGCAGCTTCAAATTAATTTTTTAAAAATGTGTTGAATTAAAACAATAATCCTCCTTTTTTTCCAGGCTCTGGGTCTTATGCTTTTGACATTTGGCCTGTGGCTTTTATTTAACAGAAACAATTTATTCAGTGAGTTATGTGAGTATAAATATAGTTTTTCTTTTGTTTTAAGTGATTGCAGGATAAATCAACAGAAAGCGTGATGGAATTTTTTCCCACAAGGTGGCAGTATTGGATCGAAATGCATAGGGGTTTTTCTGTTGTGTATTTATTCCCTCAGACAGTATGATTATCAAATAAATATATATCAGTATATCTACAATTTATATATGATTATAATTTATACAATTTATGTATTTCTCTTGGTGTATAGCTTATAGATGAATCACTGGCCTATAAATCAGCTCTGTTGATCTTTTCTTTATATAATTTACCAGACTGCATTTGGCCTGCATTTGATAAGATTGTAGATCCTTTAGGTGGATATTTGGGTGGAATGAAAACAAGTTGGAGCTTGAGCCTCTCTGTACAGATATTCTTTTTTCCCAGAGTGTCTATCAAATTCTTTCCCAGAGAAGTAAGTTTTGGGTCACATAGCAACAACTGTGCTCTTAAAGAGTTGTCTACCTTGGCTATGCCGAGGAGCATCAGTTACCAGCTGATAGGATGGGAACCATCCAATACAGTAATTCTGGGATGAAGCATTGGAGATGGAAGTAATGAAAACCCCTGCTACTTTCCATATCTATGGAAAAATGGTTAAAGTGGAAAGGGGAAAGCGGCCAGTCACAAAGGAAGATAGCACTGAATCTGAGTATGGATTTAATGAGAACAATATCTATGTCCACATAAGATTTGTACATGTGCTACTAATTTTTGGCAAACAGAAAAAAATGTGTAAACTTGTAATTGTCCTCTGATTTCATTATGAGTGGTTCACATTGTTCAACTATGTTCTGTTTCCATCTCATTTGTTGTTCCCATCCTCTGCATTTATGAAAATACATCTTTTTCTTTCTGTGGCTGTAGACAGCATGAGTAATAATAATACCCTTTCATCATTCTGCTATTTCCATCCTTTCAGTAATGGTATTGCAAAGATTTAATTGTTTTTCTGGTATAAGTTTTGTAAATGGAAGTCTCAAAAAAAAAAAAAAAAGTGACAGTATGAATGCACTGTGTTACAGTTTCTTCAGGCAAGAACCAGCTAGTGGCATATATTTCTTGTATATTACTTGGAATTGGATCTGTTATTACTTTTACTTCAGCCGTGGGATTCCTTGGAAATGTTATGGAAAACAAATGTCTGCTAGTTACAGTAAGTGTAAATCAGACTCCAACTTTCTTGTAAAATGAAAGGGAGTTTTGTGTGCATGAAAACTGTGATCCTGTCTTGATGTTGTGATTTCCACATACGGTGCTTAACAAATCTGCTGATAGAAAGCAGATAGATAAAGTCCTGGCTCAAATGAAATCTGAACAAACCTTCCATATCACTGTCAGAATATTTTCAATGACAAAACACTTGCAGTTTGATGCAGCAAAGATTTTAACCACTGTACTTATTAACTTTGAGATTTTAAAATTAATTTAGTATTGAAATTATGCAGAGAAACTCTCCCTCAGGATGTGCTCACATGCTTAGTATGTGCTGAAGAAATAAAGAAAACCTGCCCCAAAATATTGCAGGTTGAAGGCACAGGTAGCTATAGTATGGCTACGATATCAAAATGGAGAGTATGATTAAAAAGCTCTTACCTATGTAGACCTACCTGGATACTCCATATTTATATACAATTCCTGCTTTTTAAGGGAAGAACACTTTGATTTCTGAAAAACTACACTGCAACTATACATTCTTATGATCCCTTTGATCACATATTTTCCTTTGTCTTTTGTTTATTGTCACCCTTTTTGTGTGATCTGGTTTAGACTATGTGAAGGCTGAAGCAGAGAACTATTCTACTGATTCATTTGTTAAGCACTACTAATATCAATTGGCACAGGAGTGAGAGGAATCCAGGTGCTATAACCAGGATTATACATGAGCTTCTGGAATTTTTTATTGCATTGCTCACTTGTTCAATATTATGTTTAGACATCATTTCGGGGTTTTTTTTCAGTATATGAGTTTTCAGATCCTGGTGTTTGTTACCCAGATGGCAGTATCAGTGCTGATATTCATGAAGAAAGAAGAGGTATGTAAGTAAATTATGTGAGACTGCTGATAATGTCAAAATAGTTTCTTGCAATTAATTAAAAAAATTCTAATAGTCAATTCTCACTGTATACTGCATCACCATTTGTTTGAACTTGACTACTCTACATGTCAATGAGGTATAGCAGAAGATATGGAAAACTTAATTGGAGGAATCCAGCATGGTTCAATAGTTGTAAAGGGGAGTGCATGGAAATATATTTCCAGTTTCTCCTCTGCAACAAAACATACTCTTCCTGTGGAAGCAATAGCGTAAGGGACAGCTTTATTCTTTTTTGAGGGATGACCCAGAAAGTCCCTCTTTTCTGGACATCAGCAGAGGTAGGAGAAAGCATTAGATGCTAACCTGTGTCTGCTAGCAGGTGGTAATAGTAGTACGCTGTGCAATTAATAGTAGGATTCATTGGTATCATGGCATGCAAAGTATACTAATGAATTACTGATTTTATTGCTTGAGCCTGTGTTTTAGGTCCAAGTAGAGATCTAATATAAAGAATATGTATCTTTGCTTTTAACAACAGGAAGCAACAATAAATACCAACATAGCTGTTGTCACTAGTAACTGTACTGCTTTGAAGCTTTATTCAGTAATTTATTTTTCTAAATATAGCAACTCCAATAGCTTGAGCATTCCTCACAGTATTATATGGAAGGTGATTTGTACTGAATCGATACTGGTCCATCCGCTTCCCTATTCCATAATTGCAAAATCTATGGTTTGAGAAAACCTCCCAGGACACTGGTCTCATAAAGTTCATACAGTTCTCCAAATCCTGCTGCTATTCAGGCAGGGTACAGCACAAATAAATCAGTTTTACTCCATCAAAGTGAATATGTATCATCAAGATTTCTTCTTTAAATGTTAATTTATAATGATGGAGTCCTCCCTGTTTTATATGATGGTTTTACATATTGAAAGATTTGAACTGTCAGGAATGAAGCATTCTGGAGTCAGCTATTTGTGCTAGGAAAATTGGCTGAAAGATTGCAGTTAAATTTATTTTATATCAACTGTAATTGCACTTGATCTCAACCTTAATTAAGTGTTGCTGAAGTATAATAAATGATGGTAACATCATCATTCACTGTGCAAGCTTTTGAATTTTGTTTTTAGGATGGCTGTAGCAAGGGGAATGAGTTGGCGAAGCCTCATTTTTTTCTTGTTTTGTAATTAAACCTTTCAGTGACCTAGGAGATCTCCTATGCATGTATTCCCTGCTACATTCTCTATAACCACATTTTTTGTGATCAGCTCATCCACTTCAATTACTGTTGAAGGTATATTTTAATAGTCTTTGCAAAGATACCTTATCTAGGGCCAACATGAGCTACTAACTCCCCTAACACAAAGCAATACATGTCCTGGCCAGATTGCATGATGCTCACACAAGTTTGTATCACAGTAGGTGTAGAATCAATTTTGGTTTTGTGCTTATTATTATGTGGTGCTGTGCTTATTAAAAGTAAGTATGAGAGGTCGGTTTTAGTATTTCAGGACAGATCAGGTGCATCTAAACTATGTTCCCTGGCTCTTCTGGCTCCATTTGGGCTAATCATCTTGTATCTGCCTGTGCTGTGTATGTGATTTGGGTCACTTCATTATCTTCCCCTTTTGCTTTTAACTTTCCCTTTAGTGCAGTGGCTATGCCATGTCTTAGATCATACTTGGCAAATCGATTAGAATGCTGTAGCTTGCAAGTAACCCTTGAAGAAACCTGAATATCAATAAAAGATCAAAGATTGTACCATCCATCCACACTCTTATCAATATGCATATATCAATTGCTATAAATATTTATGAACAGGTCCACAATCAGTGGAACAACAGAATTGATGAAGTTATTTCTGAGTACGGGAATGAGAGTCTGGCTGAGCAGGAACCTGTGTGGAACATTCTGAATGCTGTGCAGCACAACGTAAGGAAAAAACCCCACAAAATATCACCACCAAAAATACTGCATCAAACAAAAATGTGTATACCAATCCGAACTTACTTTAAAAAACTTACTTTAAAGCTCCTTTAGTAAAGCATTAATTTTTCAAGATCCGCTGCTAATATCTGATGTGGGTGGGCAGATTCCTTGCTGTTATATGGAGTACTATGGATAAGATTAGGCTTTTGAAGTACTTGTCAATGTATGTAGGAACAGACAGTTCTGGTCACTGAAGTTTACCGCAGCTGAAAAAAATGGTGGGTTACCTAATATCTTTGGCAGTGCTAGATATTGTAAAACACTTGGTCTGCTTAGGTCTCAAGACTGACCTGAACCACGGACAAGCAGAGATGTTGTAAGGTCAAAGCAGAGCTCCTACTGTGAGAGCATTTGAATAGGTATTGCACTGAGACTCTCTCAGAAATAATGCTTAAAGCCTTAAATGAGCTTGCAAATCAATACTTTCAGCACACATACTTAATTATTAATCATAGAAATTTTTGTGGCCTGGCAGGATGTAATTTGTTTCCTTTTTCAGAAAAGTCCTTTAAAGCATTTGTATGGGATCAATTATTTGGAATTTGTTAGCAATGTTTTTGTCCAGTGGCCTACTATCCACCCTCCAAATTAATTCTTCATCATGAGCGTTTAATTACAAACACTACAGCTGAACAGTTTAATACAGTTTAATATCTTCTATAGACGAGCTGTGAGTCCCTTAATATGATTTCTTGCAGAGGTGAGTCTTATAGTCTTGGCAAACATTGAAGATAATTTATGATTCCTTATAACTCATGAAGCATATATGTCTAGACTCAAGATTACAAATGCATTTGTAATGTATATTTAAAATCTGTTCTTTGAAAAGCTGGTCTTCTCTGATTGCATTCATGATTTCTCTAGTGATTAACGGTGACCCCATTATGTCAATGGTGCAGCTAGACTGTGCTGGTATACTTGAGCTCAGTTTTATTGAACTGTTGTGGGAGCACAGGTTTCAGGAAAGCTACCTACCCACCACCTACCCTGGTGGGCATGTTTAAATTGTGGCAGATCTCAAAGTCTTGTGGATATTTTGCTGTTGGTATCTAAGCCAGATAATGTATCACCTGCCAAGGTGAACTGTAATCACACTTTTGAATGAAACACTGCCATCCCCAAGTCTTGTGTTACATGCTTCCAGCTCTTTACAATATCATCGGCATCTGCCGTGAGAAAAATAAAAAGCCTAAGATCATGAATAGTATTAGAGAAGAACTGTATTTTTATATATTTTTTGTAATATTTATTGTACGGCTTAAAGCTGGTGATATTTTTAACTGAACTTACAGAGTTGTTGACATTGAATGTTTTTACAGAGAAAGGACAGTTTTGGCTAAGTTACCTAATTTTTCAAAATTTAGAAGCAGTATTTCTTGGATTGACTCTCCAGAACACAAAATGAGATGCTTTTGTTTAGCACCTCTGAGCTCAAATATGACAGACTTTTCGTCCCACAAAACAATTCAAATATTTCTGAAGTTTCATCCTGATTCAAAAAGAGAAACTTGGAATTTCCTGCATGACAAGAATTGCATTCTCCAAGCTGTTTGATGGTGTGGTTTGGTTTTGTGTTACTGGTATTGAAATAGATTATAGGGAGGAGCTAGCTGATAATCCATTTGAACAGGGCACAGTATCTGCTTTGTGCTTCAAATTTGAGCTATGTGTTCACAAGAGATCAATTGCTGCTAAAACGCAAGTTGGAAAAGGGAAACTTTCTAAAGATCTCTTGCTAGGAGTTTAGAACTTTTGCAAATATGACATTAGAATTGACAAAGGAGTAACTGAAAGTTTTCAAAATCTAGTCCCTATTTAAGTTTCTAGATCAGACTAAAACAGAGTGTCTGTTTTTATTTATTAAAATATGTTTTATAAAATCTGCCCCCATTTATTGTATTTATTATGAAACAACATTCTTTATGTTGTTTCCAATAATGTATAGTTTTCTTTCTTCTTTTTGTTGTACTTCACAGTGAGCACATCCTTAATATAGCTTATTGCTTACACAAAATTTCAACATTGAAATTACTTTGGAAGCTTAAGGGTGATAGTCAAAATGTTCTACTTTAATCTGGGTTTGTAATTTTTTTTTCTATTTACATGTGTTCTAGAATAGTTCAGAGACTAAATGAAAGTTCCTTTCGAAAGTATATTTTAAGATCATATTGTTCTTAAGTCTGTACTATCCAGTACATTATCATGGGAAATGATACATACACAAGCATGAATCATCCCCTGCAGAAACCTCTCTCTACTGTATACAGAGGGAAACTATCTAGATAATTTAACCAACTAACAGCTAGCACTTCTTGGGGTGAGAATTCCTCTGTGTGACAGCCTTTATAAGTGTTAGAGTTACCAAGTTGCAGGATTTCTATCCTAGATGGAATGCTGTGGAAGATACAATGTCACACAGTGGGAAAGGAATAAAAACAAGGAAAATAGTACTCAAATCCCATGTTCATGCACAAAATCCAGTCTGAAGAAATGGTTTTGTGATGTCCCAAGGAATTCAACATACAGTATGGTAAGAAAAAACCTTCCTTGAAGAATGTAACTTTTGCTACTAAATGTACTTTGGAAAAAAAAAAGAAACCACCATGTTTTCAACCAAGACTTGGCTTATAAATGCCAAAGTATTAATAGTATTCATTGTTTTATCTTTGGTCACTCTGAAGCCTTGGTTTTTACTTGTTAGGTGTCAGTCATGTAGGCAGTTGTAAATTAAGGATACTTCAAGAAAGCAGGAGTTGTGCCTGATCAATATCACAGGGACATTTAGTAGTGGTTTACAAAGTAGTAAGCATCTTGGCATTCAGAAATCCATGCTGTGCAAATCAATGATGACAATGGAAAGTGACAGTATATAAAAATACAGTACATTTCCCGCTTGTAAGTACTATTCATTACTTAAAGAATGTCAGCAATGTCTCTACCTGTTTGTATTATCTGTTTCCAGAGGTCTCCAATACTTTACAGGATAGGAGGAATGAGCAAACCATTGAAATATGAGATATGTTTCCTAAGACCAGTTCATTTACATGTCTTAATATCAAGGGACCAGTTTGCATAGGACTATCAGATATCATCACCTGAGCTGGAGCAACGTGATACATATTATTCTCTTCTGTAAACCCTCCAGTGTTAATAGGACTATCCAGTGAGAACAAAAATTCAATGGGCAAACATTGTTTCTTGACAATGCAGGACAGTAAATAATAGAAAGGATATTGTCAAATGACATCTAGTATTGTCTTCCTTTGCTCATTAGTTTGGAATTGTTCCCTGTTTCTACAAACCCTTGTCATTATTAAAAGATCACTTCAAAGTGTAGAAAGTATTTATTTATATGTTTTATTATATTTATAGCTATTTTAAGCTATGTAATAGTTTATAATTTATTTTTAAAAGCAATATAATAAGCACAGACTGTAATCTGGAAAATATGCACATCCATTTCAGGATGCATAATGCATGAGAAGCAGTGAAAACTTGAAAATATTCTTTTAAGCATTTACTTGTAAGGTAATCTCTCAGTTATACTCACACAAAAGCAAATTCCCTTTTGATTAAGTCACAACCTCTGGAACACTTCCATACAAAAGTATCAGATTTACTGTTTATCTGTTTAGCTCAGATAATTTTTAAAAGGTTATAGCTAACTCTATGCAGTACACATTACTGATGTATTTGCTTTCTGGCAAGTAAATATCAGAACCCATCATAACATGCAGAAAGTTCTATATATTTTAAAAGTATGTTCTTATACAGATGCAATATGAATTCCAGATTTGAAATTATTTTTCTTGAAATCTGTTCATCTGTACTTGCTTAGGGGTGTGAAGAATATTTAAATACATGGTTTGAAAACAATGTTTTGATCTTAACTGCAATTACTATCAGCCTGCTAATTACACAGGTAAGAGTACTTTTCAGCTAAAACCCACAAAATATTGATATCCCGCTGGGGGTAAAAATCAATTCAGTGCCATTTGGCTTTGGCACGCTCTCCAAAATTTTGTAAAGCTTTCCATCAATTTTAAGTCAAGCACTGTTTACCAACAAACTCTGGTATATTCAAGCATCATCACAGATGTTGGTGTCCAAAGTTTGTTGAACAAAATGTTTGACGTGACTTGTGAAAGCAAATGGCATTGCAAAGATGGGAAGCAGTTAAAGAGAATGTAAAATCTGTGGAATAAAAGACCTCTTTTGTCCTCTATTTGTACAGAACCTCATCCATGAATATGCTAAATCAAAAAATGCTAAATAAAAAAATAGAAAGTCATGAAACCCCTCCCCCCACATATCTATGAAAAAAATTATTGGGCAACAAGGAATAAAGCTTTCAATATCAAAACAAAATCATATGAATAATGGCAACAAGAATTGGTTGGTCACTCCACAGACACCCTGAAGGTTGAGTACCATCAAGCAGGCGAAGGATCTTTAATAATATCTAAAATTGTGAGGTTAAAATGAGATTAGTTCATTTTTACTCAGAGAATTAAAAGTACAACCTATTTTACCCCTTCCATATGTGGTACCTTCCCATAGAGGTATGTAGTAAAAACAGTCCAGCTATGGAGTGGGCCAGTTCAGTAATGAAAATGTTTCTTATTCCTACTCACCTAATCCTCACTAGTGCAGTACATCTGTGTGTGTATCATGATCTTCAACGTACACCTTCTTGTCAGATGGGAAAGAGCTGTTATCCCCATTCAAGAGGTTAAGACCAAGAATCATAGAATCATTTAGGTTGGAAAAGACCTTGAAGATCATCAAGTCCAACAGTTTTTGGATTCATAGGGCACTGCAACACTTAACTGAATTATGTGCCACTTGAAATAGATTTCAAGATACTTCTGTGGATGTGGGCCCAAGTGACTTGCTGGAGGTCACACAGCAAGCCTGTACCAGAGCAGAGAATTCAGCTTGTGTATTCAGGCACATGTCCTGATCATTCTCCTTTGTATCCTTCTGCACTGTCATTCATAGGAGCCAGGTTAGCAGTCAGATTGACTCAGTCATGAGTGAGTATCAACACTTTCTTTGTTGTTTTTAACACACCCTTTTTCTTTTCTCAGATATTTTTGATCACACTAACTGGTCAGCTATGTAGAGACATCAGCAAGAATAATATTTGGCCAAATGAGTTATGAACTCTTCAGAGCATTGCTGTGGTCCAAGAATTATCTGATCCATGCCTGTAACAGTCAACGATATTACTTCCACTAAAATTTGGGTTGGGCTCAATGTATTGTAATCACTAGGATATTAGCATTTGGGCTTTAATATGTTTGTTTGTTGTTCATGGCTATGGGTATGATAGTATGCTACAAAATTATGTGTGTTGAAGTCTGAAGTACTATGCCATTTACTAGCTGGCTAATAAAACTTCCTGGTAAGCTGTTTCCTGAGTCTTCAGAACAATTTGTTCTGAGTGTTGTAAACAGTACTGTATAGTATACTGCACTTCGAAACAGAAGAAACCCTTTATCAGGTCCAGCTGAGAAAAAACATTTACAAAACATTGCTGATACTTCTTTAGGCCTTTACCTCTCCTTCCAGTCCTTTTCTGTTTTGTCCTTTTCTGTTGTGTGATTTAATCTCAAAAAATTTCACTGAGTCGTACAAATATTGGTCAGCTCTTTTCCAAGAAGTGTTGTAGTAGACATCTTTCATTCTTGCTGAATGGCTCTTCCCATTCATTTAATCAAATGGCTTCAGTGGTTTAGGCGGAGTAAGCTTGAAAAGCTAAAACATTCTCTACCCTCTGAGCAGTGAGGTGACCTGGAATATCTTGAGGAAAACTGAGGAAGGCGTGGTATTACAAGTGTAGGTGGTAGCATTATTAATTATTTTTTGTCTGAAACTTCCCATTTCAGTAATCTGTTTTCTGGTGCTTATAAATTGGGTAACTTCTTTTTATTTAGGCTAAAAAATTTCCATTTCAAGTGCCTTCCACAGGCTGAGTTTCATACTTAGAGAACTTCAAATAAAAGAAATGTGTCAACTCAGAGGGGAATGGCATGCTTGGAACAGAATCTGAGTTCCAAACTTGTATTTTTTGTTCTGCCACCAGCAAAAATCTAAGGAACACAGTGATGAAGTCTCTCATCCCACTCAAATGTTTATCTGCATTAAGAATGGCAGATACCTGTTACCTTGATGTCTGTAATGGTTTAAGAAGTTTTAATCTTGTTATTGATGTAATTGAGAATACAATCTGAGAAGGATATTAAATAATAATAAATAAATCAACAATAGTTTTTTCAGTAATCTTCATTTTGCAATTTACAGAGTACTTCAGAGAGTTAAGATAAAGAATCTGAATTTTAGTTCATAAGTATAATTCTGAAATATAAAGATAACGTAACTTCACTGTAACAAACATTACATTTAAAAATTCCAACAATCTGGTAAAATAACAGAGCTACTTTTTCATTAGAAAGCAGATCCATTTCATTGACTAGGTCTGTGATACAGAGCAGGATATAACAACTATTTTTCACTTATTTTTTCCATGCATCTAATATTCAACATGGAAACTAAAAACATCCCATCTACTTACAGAAGCCTTTCTTGTCACCTTTCACATCCCGCGATAGTTTCAACTCCAGCTGAGCACTGGCTTTCCTGCATCCATCCCTGCATGCTTGGGCAGTGTCTCTCTTTTCCTCCTGGGTAGCCCATTGCCATTTCCACCTTCCGTATACTTTCTTTTTGTGTTTGAGACCAGTACCCAGTTATCCCAGTTTTGTGTTTGAGACCAGTTGACTGTTATCCATACTAGCCTTCTGCTATGCTTGCTCAATTTCCTGCACATCAGCACGGATAGTTCTTGCACTCTGAGGAGGTCATCCTAGCAAATCAGCCAGCTCCTTGGGGCCCCTTTGCTCTTCATGGTAGTCTCACTTATGATCCTTCCAAGCAGATACCCGAGCAATCACTTGCTCACTTATTTGGGGATTTTAAAGTCCACGGTCTCATGGTCATTGCAGGTGAGATCCTTGATCTTTGCATTTCTAACCAGTTCTTCCTTGTTTGTTAGTAACAGAACCAACAGGTCATCTTCTCTAGCTGAACTGTGGATCACCAGCATCAACCCAGTATTGTCAACACACTCCAGAAATCTCCTGGGTTGCTTGCCCCAAGCCATATTGCCCTTCTAGCAGATGTCAGGTGGTTCCCCTGAGTGCAGGGGCCAGGAATCACAAGGCTTCCTCCTCCAGTTGCCTAAAGAAGACTTCATGGACTTCACCTTCTTGATCAGGCAGTGTGTGGTAGATACCTGCTATGCCATCACCTGCATTAGCTTGTCCTCTGAGCCTTGCCCATAAACTCTCAACTGGCTCGTCAGCCCTTTGAAGGCAAAGCTCTGTGCATTGCTCCTGAGATATCAAGTCAAGTTGGCAGGGAGTGTCGCCTTCCCTCAAGAGCTACGTTTCCAGACATGCGGAATACTTCAGTCAGTGTGAAGTAGCTTCTGCAGATACGCAAATACTTCTATTCAATCCAGGTGGGATGGTTCTTCACTAGTCTAGTGCAGTAAATTGCATCCGAATCTAATAAACACCTATTCATGTTTCATTGGTTTGTTATATTTAAAATAATTACTTATGCACTCCCCCTGTTTTAAAAGGTTATTAAGGGTGGGATTACCTGGGTAAAGGCAGCCATGTAAAAGCTGGACAAGTATCCTAGCGCATGTGGAGAGAAAGGTACTCCTGTAGAGTAATTAATCCAACTTTTCCTAGGTAGGTATTATAGAATGACATCCTCTAGAAATACCTTTACTTTTCTGGTTTGAGTGGGAGCCTGGTTGCACTAGCTTATAGTTTCTACAACTTGAAATGGTTAACACTATATTAATTGGATCCCACTTTAATATTATGTAGTCAAGAATTCAGAAGGCCCCAAATAAAGTCACATGGGGAATCTGAATTTGTTCCTAATGTATCTGTATTATAAAATTGTTGTCAATTATGTGCTCACATACTGGCTTTCCACAGTAGGCTAAAATCCAAATTCTGTAAAAATGTACTGTGGTCTGTACCCAAATATTATTTTAAGATGAATAGAAGCAGCTCCTATTGTCCTCAGTGACAATTTGGCATGCCCAAGTGAGAGGAGAATGTGTTGCAGTATGTAAGAAAATACTACACAATGCCTACCAAGACCTGTCATCAACGTTCACAATAAAATGTACATGCTGGCTGCTAAAATCTCCAGCAAGCACACAGATAATTAGACAATAGACATATGTTTGTGTGCAAGAAGATTATAAATAAAATTGGCAATACTGCTACACATGCTGCTGGTGCTTAACAAGAATAAATATAAAAAAGATCACCATTAATATAATATTTAGTAAAAAAGGAATAAGAAAGAATAGCGGAGAAAATTTGTAGGGTGGAAAGTTTTTTGGTTTTTTTAACGTTTTGAGATAAGAAAATGGAAACAAGTATCTGTTTGCCAATTTGTGCAATTCTCTTAGGTAGACACTAGAGGACACAGGGGGCTTAAGAATAATTCAGGACATAGAAAAATAAACATAAGTTTTACAGAATGCCATAACATACACACCTTATACGTAGTTGACACTTTAAAACATACTAAATAAGTCTGAAGGTGATAGCCATGTGGCACTGCACTGTCAGAGAAGATGATGTTCAAAGACAGTGTGCTTCAAAGGAATGGCATGGGAAACAACTCATGGTAGCTGTGTTAAAGCTCAATAAGGTAATGAGTGGATCCAGTTCAGCTAATTTAGAAGCTGTAGCACCAAAATTAGGAGATGTCCCTGAAAGGTTTATTGGTGTGAGAGTGCAGGGGGAAATGATAACAGCATAAATTCCCTATACAACAGAGACTGGGGTTATACAGTTGCTTTCGTGTGGCCTAAAAGCACTCTGCTGCTGAAGAGGTGGTCCCAATGTCTTCTGGTTCTTAGCCTTGCTCCCATCTCTGGCTGGGCACTGGCACTGGTACGCATGCGGCTTTGTGGGGAACTGGTCCAAGGCCTTGTCTGGTCTAAAAAATAATCCTACAAAGAAAAAAGTGATGTGTTTAGGAGTTTGGTTGGTTGGTTGCGTTTTGTTTGTTTTGGTTTGGTATTTGGGGTTTTTGTTTGTTTGTTGGGTTTTTTGAAAAATACGTGTCCAGTGTAAAATATATATACATTTCAGGAGTTGGAATTTTCATTCTGCCTCTCTGTACCTAGACTGTCCTAACCCCTATGATAAAATAAGGCTCCCTCTTGCTTTCTTAGTATCTGCCCCACCATGTTATGTGCCTGGGTGCACGATGGTTAAGCTTCAGTAAAAGGACACTGAGTACTCTCACTCACAATGTCTCATGACTTGAAATCTCAAGGTGGGTTCAACGCTTTGAGGAGAATGAGACTAAAAACTCGTGTTTCTTACCTCTGTAATCGGTTCTCCAGTTATTATAACACTAGGTAACATAAGTGGATGGAATCACTGTCAGTATTATATCAAACAACTAGCCATGGTGTTCTCTGTGACTAATGTTTGGGGAATTCTCCAGGGGCTTAAGCAGAGTTCAGGTGGCTCTGAATAAATCCTACACTGCTCAGTTTAGACTTGCATTTTTATACAGCTACAGGTACAAGCTAGATGCCACATAGCAATGAAGCAGGCACTTTGAAATTGCATAGTGACTGAAGCTCCCAGGAAATTTTTGGACAAGGTGGGGAGGCACAAATGAACTACATGCCTGCCTACAAGGCTAGGCAGTCCAGAAAAACAGTGGTGTGAATGCCAGCTGGTTATTTTGTTGTCACATTCTGAAAGAAATAAAAATTACAGTTATTTGGTTTGCACTTATATCACTGTACTGCTCAGCTCCTGAGGGAACAGAATCTGCAGTTCCCACAGGACATTTATGATTTGTGTTTGGTACTTATCCAAAGCTAATTTAATCAATGTCAGTTCTGTGAATGTCATGTGTATGTTCTGAATGGGAAGCTCCCATGACACTACAGAAAAAGCTACTCCAGTACAAAAATCATGGGGAACAGGTTCAGATATTTTTAATATTAGTATGGGCTAGAACAGATGGGATAATTTCAGGTATGACCTCCAAGAATTTGAGGATCCAAACTCAAAAGAACAGGACAGATCAAAGAGATAATTTC